ATCTGCAAAGTTGTTAATGCAAAAAATTTGGATATGTAACTTAAATTGGGATGACAAACTCACAGGAGAAATTTCATCAGAATGGTTTAATTTTCTAGCTCACATTCCCGATCTTGCAAAACTCACAATCTCTAGACCTCTGCTCAATATGTTCAATATTTATCGAATTGAAAACCATGGTTTCTGCGATGCAAGTATGAAGGCATATGGCGCTTGTATTTATTTACGGGTTTTACATGAAAATGGAATCGTTTCGTGTAACTTAATTACTTCAAAGAGTCGTGTAGCTCCGCTAAAAACCATTGCCCTACCCAGACTTGAATTATTAGGGGCTGTTTTGCTTTCTACCCTGATTTCAAATATCTTTCTTATTATTTCACCAAAGGTTTCTTCCATAGCTTCGGTTAGGCTCTAGGCACACTCCCAAATTGTACTCGCATGGATAAATTCTCAACCTTCTCGTTGGTCAATCTTCGTAGCAAACCGTATAACTCAAATACAGGAGTTAACGCGAACTTATTTATGGAATCACGTAAGGTCTAAAGATAACCCAGCAGATATTCTGTCTCGCGATACCTCACCGGCCCTGCTGGTAGACAATACATTATGGTGGCATGGGCCCCATTTTCTAATGAACGCAACCACTAAATTTAATGAATTCGTTCCAAATATTGATTTAACAGATATCCCTGAAATAAAATCCACTCTACACGCTGTAAATAATTCGAAACCTACTCTCTATACAACTTTTTGTAAATTCTCATCTTTCACTCGGTTACAAAGAGTAGTTGCATATTGCAATAGGTATATTTACAACCTTAAAAATAAAGAAAACAAAAGAAATGGTGTACTTTCGGCTACCGAATTAATAGAAGCTGAGCAGAGAATAGTTAAAATCATTCAACTAACTTTCTTTCAATCAGAATTTAAAGACTTAAAGCATCAAAAAACAATAAAAAAATAAGGCTATCTTAAAATTAAATCCATTTATAGACGCATCTGATTTAATAAGAGTTGGTGGACGACTTCGCAATGCAAATGTTTCGTATAATCAAAAATTTCCACTTCTTCCTACAAAATGCCAGATAGTTAGATCGTTGCTTGAAAGAGAACACATTCGCCTATTGCACACAGGCCCTCAAAATACATTGTCAATATAAATAAATAAATATTAGACTCACTTATTGGCCTCTTGATGGACTAAGAGAAATCAAGAGAAACATCTACAAATGTAAGAACTGTTACAGATTTAACGCAAGACCAGCTCATTAAATAATGACCGATCTACCCAAAGAACGGTTTCAGGTTTCTCGACCATTCACAAATGTCGGCATCGACTACGGAGGCCCATTTCAAATAAAATCTTCAAAACTTCGACGTGCACCCATTTGTAAGGCTTATATAGCAGTATTCGTATGCCTCGTTACTAAGGCAGTCCATATAGAGCTAGTGTCCAGTCTTAGCACTGAAGCATTCCTACTAACGTTGAAAAGATTCATTTCACGCAGAGGTATCCCCAAAACCATTTATTCGGACAATGCGTCCAACTTTCTTGGAGCTCATAATCAGTTAAAAGAGCTTTATGACTTTTTTATGGGAACGGATGTTCTACCTACCATAAAAGAATTCGCAGCCTCAACATTAATTGAGTGGAAGTTCATTGCACCTCGATCTCCACACCAGGGTGGAATTTGGGAAGCAGCCATAAAAAGCTGCAAGTATCATTTGGTAAGGATAATGGGCAATAATATTTTTACATTTGAGGAATTAACCACTATTTTGGCTCAAATAGAAGCTGTTTTAAATTCACGACCCCTGTCCATTGTCAGACACTCCAAATGATTTTTCTTTTCTAACCCCCGCTCATTTTCTCATCGGAAGCAGCATGACTTCCTATCCAGAGAAAGATATCTCAACAAAATCCGAAAATAGTTTGTCACTGTGGCAGAAATGCAGCAAAATTCAGCAGCATTCCTGGAAATGTTGGTCTAGGGATTATTTAAATCGCCTAAAAAATAAGCCCAAATGGTTTCTGCCCCAAGAAAACATTAAAGTCAATGATCTTGTCCTCTTAATTGATGATAACGCTGCTCCTTTAAAATGGCCACTGGCAAGAGTAATCGAAACATTGCCAGGTAAAGACGGCAGGGTTAGAACTGTAAAACTAAGAACTAAAGACGGAACATTTATAAGATCTGTTGTTAAAGTATGTCCTTTACCTCATACTCATTTAGATGTAGGTCACATCAACGGGGGGACTATGTTGCGTAACAACAACATTTAATATTTTTAGTTTATTTTTGTACCAAATTTTTATATCATACTGTATATTAGTTTAGATATATAAAATTTCTCTGTACTAACTAATAATCTGTAAAGCGCCGATATCTTGCATTTAAATAACCTTCTACACAAGTTTCTAAAACCTTCATAGAATTGTAACAATGAGAGGATTATTATTTTCCAAATTACCGTCTGACTCATTCCAAATTTCCGCAAGTTGAGACAAATACCCTTCTCAGGTAGTTTTTATCAATGATTTGAAAGTTAAAGGTATTTGAAATGTAAATATCCTTTAAATACGTCGAGGGGCTCAGGGGGGAGATTTCGGAATGTTTGTGATTGAGGGGAGAGAGTGGACATCAGTTCGCAGTTCAAATCCATCAAATCAGTATGAGTTCAAATTCCAGCAGTGAAGGAGCGTCAGGCTCTATTCGCCCCAGCGGCATATTAGTGTTTTAAACCAGTCGGTATATTAATAAGTTCGTGTCAATATTGTATCACCGACAAGTGTGTATTATATGCAAGTTATCGGCGTTCAAAATACATTGTATTTGTTTAAATAGATTTGTTAAAACGTTCTTTTCGAATCTTCATTTGTCCCAGTTTTCTGGGTGGTCCTTCAAAGAAATATATATATATATATATATATATATATATATATATATATATATATATATATATATATATATATATATATATACACAGAGTGAACTTATTTCCCTAAGGAAAAACCTTGTTCCCCAAGGGAAAAAACCAGCGACCCACGACTGGTGCGCGAAACAAAGCCATCAGGACAAGTTGTAAGGACAAACACACCTGTATCTTCGCTCACTCTCTGCGATACGCAACTACGACACTGGCAAACTGCAAACTGGCCGTTTCTATGGTAACGCTAGTAAACAAGAACCACTGCGCACTGTCGAGTTATGAGTCATATTCCCAAACTAAACTCTGTCGGAGTCTACCTCTCGAAATATTTTACGAGTTTGCGACTTGCGTTGTTAGCAAAGGTCAATACTCTAAGGGGATTTACAGAAAAACAAAACATGATGATTTTAAGAATATAGGTATTTATATTGATTTAGTAAAAGATATATTTTCACAGAAATACAAACGTTTGTTCAGATTGATTTGTTATAAAAGTGTAGATATTATTATTTGTTATTAGTTCATTAATTCAGGCACAGTTAAAATTCGAACATTTTCTCTAGGAAGACTATTGACAGAGAGGTATAAAATTAATTTTTGTAGTTGTTTTGTCTTATTTAAAATGTAATTTAATAGGTATGGTTCCAGGATCTAAAAAATCAATAGTATGGAATTTTTTTAACAAGACGACATATGTCAACTTCGTTATTTGCAATACATGCAAAAAACAATTAAAATACTTTGTACGTACTACAAATTTAACTCAACATTTAACCCGGAAGCATTATGTACAATATCAAGCTGAAAAAGGCGAAATATTAGTTACCAAAAACAGTAATCAAACCATGAAACATTTACAAAATATAGACCAGCCAGTACCTTCAACCAGTAGCAGTAGTAACAGTGATTTAATAACCGTGATTAAATCAACAATTCCAAGTTCTTACCAGCCAGTACCTTCAAGCAGTAGCTGTAGCAACAGTGATGCAATTACAGTGGAAAAATCAACAATTTCAGGTCGTTACAGTTCTCCACCCAAAAAACGGCGCCAGTTAAGACTTGTTGGAGCCACGTCTAACTTATCAGACGTTCAAAAAAAAAGAAATTCGGGAAATCGGGCCCTCATCAAAATGATTGCTACGCACTTTTAACCCATTTCGATAGTAGAAAATAGCGGATTTTTAGAATACACAGAAAAATTAAATTCTCTATACACACCACCATCCAGAAAAATTTTAACTGATCGTTTATTGCCTCAGACATATGAAGAGGTACTGTTAAAATTAAAATTAATGCTAAATTCCACCGACTATGTATCAGTAACGGTGGATATGTGGACTTCCGATACCAATACTTCAGACGTGACTGTGACTTGTCATTTTATTTTTAATAAAAAAAATTTACAATGTGGTATTAACAACCAGAGAAATGAAAGATGCACATCATATAGGTGAAAATATCGCGGATGTATTAATTAAAATTTTTAATGAATGGGGCATTGAAAAAAAAGTGGACCGTTATCTCGGATAACGGTGCTAATATTAAAAAAGCTAATCGACTATATATAGAGAAGAGACTATCCTGGTACGGCCACATCAGAAGAGCGGACAGAAGACGCTGGATAAACAAAATCACAGAATGGAGCCCGATCGGAAGAAAGAGAGGAAGACCCCGAAGGTCATTCAGAGACGAAATCGACGAGGCTATGGAGAAAAGAACCCTGCGAGATGGAGACTGGAATGAAAGGGAAAATTGGAGATAACGGTTGAGTGAAGGAAGACAGTGAAAACTGTGGAAATCCTTAGTAGTAGTAGTATTAAAAAAGCCATAAATGATCATTTACGTATGTACCATAACCCTTGCGTCGCACACACTCTCAATTTAACTGTTAAAGATGCCTTAAATTCTGACAATGAGGAAGTAAAACAGCTAATCTTAAAATGTAGAAATGTATTTGCACATTTTAAACACAGTGCAGTGGCAACAACTCAATTAAAAAAGAATCAAGAATTATTAGGAAAGCCAATTCTTGAGGTTAAGCAAGCACTAGATGGAATGCTACTTTAATTATGCTAGCTAGACTTCAAGAAATAAAGGATTCCCTTTCGCCTACGGTTCTTAACCTTGACAAGTGTCCCAAAACTTTGAATTCTGAAAAGTGGGCACTTATCTCAGACTACGTTAATTTATTAAAACCACTAGAAATAATGACTGCTGAAGTATCTGGAGAAAAATATCCGACAATGTCAATAATCATTCCTTTAATACCTGGTTTACAGTTGGCCATAAAATCGGTATCCACCATAACTGTATCAGGACTGCTCCTCCAAAAAACCCTGATGGATACAATCACACAAAGACTGAGTGGTTTTGAAACTAATAAAATTTCCTCTAAAGCAACATTTCTTGATCCTCGGTTCAAAAAATATGCTTTTGGAAATGAGGATAATGCAAATGGCGCTCAGAACTGGATTACAGAGGAATTAAAAAACCTAATTAATCTTGAAAAATTAGGTACTATTACTACTCCAGTAACAGATACTGCGACTATATAACAAGAAGTAAGTAAACCAGAAACTATATCACTCTGGGCTGATTTGGATAGAAAATTAGCAAATAAAGCAGCTACAATAACATCATATACTGGTGCAGCACTTATAATTAGGCAATACTTAGAAATGCCTCACTTACTTAGAAAAGAAGAGCCTTTAGAATTCTGGGATAAACACAAATTTACATTCCCAGAATTGTATAAACTTCACGTAAAATATCTTGGATGTCCTGCCACATCAGTTCCGTCAGAACGAGTTTTTTCCAAGGCAGGCCAACTTACTAACTTGCGGAGAAACAGGCTAGCTCCAAAAAAATTGGATACACTCATATTTCTAAATAGCTACTTTGGAAACCAATTTTAAATATCGGAACTTTATACAATGATTTATTCGGAATAATAAGTTTATTTATTGTAATTATTTTTCAGTGTATGTTTTTGGATTTTAATAAATGTTTACACCTTTATTTAAATGTACTATTTAGTTCAAAATAAAATGTTAATTTTGAGCAAAATAATTTGTTGAAAGTACTTATTTTCCAACAATAAATATTTTTCTCTACACTAATATTCCCTTAAAAATGGTGAAATTCCATTCCACTTGATATAAAGTTTCCCATGTCAATATTGCTGAGCCTTCTTAGAATAAAAAACGGAAGATATTTAGCGGTACTTTTAGGGGTATTAACCATCCGCTACCTGTATACATAATTTATATATTTTAAGTTCAGTTCAAAACAAGCTATTATCACGGTCGGTCGCAAAATCTCGTAAGCTAACAGTCGCTATTTCGTAAATTCGCTTGGTAATATATTATTTGTATTTGTAACTAAATAGCTCGCATCGCAATATTATTCATTAAGATTATAACTCAATCATTTATAGTAATCAGTGTTTCTTCAATCCGCAGTATAGTTTTTATGTAAAAACAGTTCATATATTCAAACCACCAGTGTTGCCAGTAGTGCGTTAACATAGAACCGACATTCCGCTAAGCAATTCTACTTGTAACTGGTTATAGATAATAGTGAAAATAGCGCCAGTGAAAAGTGTAATTGAAATATCGCATATCACAGTGTTCTCGGACAGATTTCAGAAACTGCTATTTAATCTTAGTATTAAATATAAGTTGGTGTTTAAATCTGTTTTACATTCCAGCCCCAGGCTGGTGGTCCTTCGTAGTTCTATTCTTTAAATACGCTAATATCCACCCAAATAATATATTATTTCCTAACAGTCGATTTCACACTCCCTACAATAATTTTTCATTCATTCAATCACTTGCTAAATCCATTAGTCAGTCCCTTCATTAGACGTCTGTACCTGTGTTCATCATGTGTTCATCCGAACCGAACTCCGAACGTTTTATATACAGTGATATCATACACTCATAATAGGGAGTTTTTATACAAGCAAATACGTATACGTAACGTATCTTTTTGACATATAAGCATGCGCATTAATAATTGAACTAACGTATCTAGATACGTCTTACCTAACGTAACGGGTAGGTACGTTACGTTCATACGCATCCCTATCGAGCCGAAAATTACCGAATGCACAAGGTTATCTTACCCGAATCTGATTACCAACATAGCCAAAATCAACATCCACTTTTCGTTTTTATCAGCAGCACATGTGGCACGTGTTTTTTTACTTTTGTGGGTAAATATATTTGTTTGTTTGTTTGTGGAATTATCACAATAATGGAATGCAGTAAGAAGATGATGATTTATTCTTGTTGAAGGAAGTCGTAGGCCCGAACCCGTATGAAAATCCTGAAAGGTGGAGTTTAATCCAAGTAAATATGCTCCAAATTACTAGCAAACATGCGAGCCTACGAGCAATAAAAGATCGCATAAAAACCTAGTAACTAAGTTTAGTCAGAGGGATCAGAAACTTCAAATTAAGTAAGTATACATTTTGTTTGGTTATTTGGATAATTTAAGTAATTATTCTTTGTTATTGGAACTTCATATATTTTTAAAATTTTCTTATTATCTATTATAAAACAAACAAATCTTGTATTTAAGAAATATACGGATCAACACAATCATTTCACTAAACAATGACTTTATTTCAGTAAAATTGTGGAGAAAACTATTTAAATTATGATGTACAATAATATACTTCACGATTAAAAGGTATAAACAAAATAAAAAAAATTTAAAACTAAGATAAAAGCAATGTTTATTATAAATACAAGTAATTAAAACAATAATATATCATCAATTTTATTTATCTTTTTTAAATATAATTAATTGTATATTGTATAAACATTGTTGTATTTTTTAATGCACTCTTGTATAAACATTTAAATAAACAAAATTAAATACAAGCACTGAAGTTGTCCTTGTTTTTATAGATCAGGAGTTGAAGAAGAAGTTTCTGAAATGGACGATCTATTAAATCATGTAGTTGGGTTATCAAGAGAATTCGCACTTTTACCCTCTGTCAAGGGTAAAAGTCAGCCAAACAGCCACCAAGAGGGTATAGCTATAAGGGAAAATGTGTTAATAAATATATTCGATAACACATCTACAATTGAATCGATTATTGTTGAAAGGGAGTAAGCGCCATTTTTTACAGTTCCGAGTTGTAGTAAAAATCCTTCTCTCTTGCTATATCCGCATCATTTGGTGTTGAAAGGAAGCAAGCTGCTATTATTTATTTATTTAGCGTATGGCTACATCACAGGTCACAAGCGATGTCGCTAGCCCCCTTGCAATATCGTACGGAGTAAATGTCACGTGGTTTAACGGCTCTCGCCGAGTAGTCGAGGTCGAGGTGCCATTTGCATTGTGTAATTTGTCGTGATAAGTTCTATTGTTGTTGTTAAGACATAAAAATGGAAGAACAGTTAAATAGTGAATAAACCAAAGTTAAACACAGGAAGAGAGGTGTGAGACATGACGACGAATATAAGAGAAATGTTATAAAGCAGAGCAGAATAAAAGGTATTTCATATGTTAGTTACAAAGGAAAAACAGTCCCGAACAAGAAAATTGGATTAGCATGCAAGTAGGTTCAATTTAACTTCCTATCTACATGGTTACGTTTTTTAGATGTCCCTTAAAATGTTTCACTAAAATAAAAGAGGACGACAGAAATGAAATATTTGACAAATTTTACAGACTAAATACAAAAGATGAGCAGGATTTATATCTACAAGGACTTATAGAAAAACGTAGTGTTGGTAGAAGGAGAAAAAAGACTACTGAAAATGAAATAATGAAAAAATCATGTACCTATTTCCATTTTGTTTTTGTTGATAACCTGAGGGTAAGTGTTTGTCAAAAAGCATTTCTTAGCTTAAATGGTATTTCAAAAAAGAGAGTAGAACGGATAAAAAATTTGTTATCAAACAACCAAACACCATGTGACAAAAGGGGCCACAATGTGAAGGTTCATGCAATTCCTGAAGAAAACAATATTTTAATAAGACAACATGTCGAATCATTCCCTCTTAAACATACCCATTACTCTGGAAAGCCTAGGTCATATCTAGATGTACGATTGAATGTCAAGCTTATGCATCAGCTTTTTAAAGAAAAACACCCAGATTCATCTATAAAGTATGATTATTACCTGAAATATTTTAAGGAACACTTTAACTACCGGTTTGGCCTACCTCAGGTAGATACAAGTTGTCAATGTGAGGAACTTGGAGTTAAGATTAAAAGTCCTTCACTTGGTGATGTGGCCAAACGGACTGCTGCTGCCGAGCTACTCGTCCACAAACGTAGAGCCAAAAATTTTTATATGTATCTCAAGGAAGCCGAAACTCGTAGCAAAACTAATGAAAGTGTATTAGCCTTATCGTTTGACTATATACAGAACCTCCATCTTCCCGAAATTCCCGTACAAGATCTGTTTAACCTTACACAATTGACTGTAAACGTGTTTAATATTCACAACTTTAAAACCGGTGAAAGTTTCTTTTACATGTATCACGAAGGCCAAGGCAGTAAGGGTCCCAACGAGGTATGTTCTTTCTTGCTGCATTATATAAGAAACTATGTTCCAGATAGTGTTAAAGAACTGCTTTTATTTTGTGACAATTGCCCTGGGCAAAATAAAAACAATACAGTAATCAGAATGTGTATGACATTAGTTGAAACGAGATTTAAAAAAGTAGAACAGATTTTTCCCATTAGAGGGCACTCGTTTTTGCCTTGCGATAGGGATTTTGGCACTGTCAAAAAACTCTTGAGGCGCTTCGACAGAATTTTTTCTGTACACCAGTTCACTAAGTTGATAATTACGTCAAGTGTGAGTAGAAAATTTACTGTAATGGAAGTAGAAAATTCTGACATTTTAGATTTTAAGAACTGGTGGATCAACTTTTATAAAAGGAACGTCGTTTCTCTAGAGACTAGTAAAAGAGGCATACCACGAAATCAACAACAAAATTTTTCGGTTTCGCAATTTCACCACTTTAAGCATGATGCATCTAAACCTGGATATCTCAGTGCTTCCCCCTATATTAACAGCCCGTTTCTTGTTAACACTTTTTACTTTAAAATGCCCAATGTTGGCATAGTAAGATGGCCGTTAAATAAGGCATATAAGAGCAAGATTCCGATTAAAGAAATATATTCCTGAAATTCATTAACCGTTTTATAACGAGATTGTTAACTGGCCAACTACAAAATAAACGGAATTAAATTATATCCTTCCATTTGTATTGAGTTTTTGCATAATAAACATTATTTCTTGAAAAAAAGTTTTATTTTTCTGTAAGTTGTTGAAAGGGGCTAAGTGACATGTACAAAAATATCAATTATTCAAAAACAATAAAAAAAAAATAACATTGTTTTACACAAATATAACTACTTATCCATATTTGATTAGGTTTACTCAAAAACAAATAATAAAAAATAAGTTAGTCTGGCTTAGAATTGTTTTTTACGTTTTTCTCAAAACTTATAAAATGTCGCTTGTCTCCTTTCAACAATAATCG